TAGCAGTATGCATGAGCCTCAAAATGCATGTCTTCCCGTGTTCCAGCATCCCAGAAAGAGTTAAGGCTAGCTGGGTTCTCATCAGGGTAGCCCCATGCAATCTCATTCTTCAACTCTGAACTTATAAGTAGAAAACTCTGCTGTGAGGGCCGACCCTCATGAGATCAATGCCACAGATGACAGGGTGGGGATGTGTGTCAAACACCACCATCATGTGCCATCTGCTCAGATTGTCCCTAAAACAACATTGAACCCCTGGGCCCACAGCCCCTTCCAGTTAGCAAGCAAGGCCCACAGCCAGGATAAGATGCCTAGGGAGTCCCTACCATCACTCCTTTGATAACATCACAGACACTCTGCCCTTTTCTCTCCTTACCCAAAGAAATCAGAAAAGAAACTACCTGAAGGTTCTAGGCTCACACACAAATACTCAGATCCAGAGAAACGAGAATCAACTACCTGAAGGTTCTAGGCTCACACACAAATACTCAGATCCAGAGAAACTACTTCAAACACAGATTCTAAGAGAGAAATATGGGCTAGAGAGACATGGGCTACGTACAAAGACCATAGGACAGCCCAGAGCAAGTCAAGACTGTGCTCCCCAGTCTGGCTGCTCTGGCTTTAGAGTGGCCTTATGTTGGGGCTCATGTTGGCTTCCTCCCATAGATCTGCTCCCAGATTCTTTGAAGGGATAGACGCCTTCTGGGATCCATTTGTGACACCAAACAAAAAGTCGGCCCCCTTGGGGGGACATGCCAGAGTTTTGGAGCTGTGAGCCTATGAGATGTCTGTATGTGTGTGTCTATTCTTCACCGACCTCTTGGAGAACAGAGGGTATTTATTTTAAGAGTCAAAAAAAAAAGATGTTATGAGCAACCCCACTTAGCTAAATCCTGGCACCGGTACTCGAGAGAGAAGCTAAATGCCGGAGGTCAAACCTCACTTTTTTGGCTAAAATGTTCAATCAAAACACACCTAATACTTCTGCCGGGGCGCGGGGGAAAAGTAGAGAGCCTGGGGCAGCCACTGCCAGCAGTAGACAAGCCAGTAGTGCGTGTGCTGAGGCTGAGCTAGCAACATAAAGACGGTTTTCAGTAAATGGCAGACCAGCCAGCAAGGAAGCCAAGGCTGAGAGGCTCCGGAGTGTGTCAGGCGGTTTCTCCACCCAAGGTCAGCAGCGGGTGAGGAGGGCCTCATTAAAGATATTTCTACCTGGCAAGGCTGCTATTAAAAATCAGAACCCGACTCAAGCCTTCCCCTTGCAGGAGGGCTCTGGAAACTCATGAGGTGCCAGCTTCCTCTGAGGGTGTGATGCTCTGTCCTCCAGCACTAGTGACTAAGGAAGCACTTTCCTGGTCCTTGGCAGCTCACAGTTTGTCTCAGTGCAAGCTCGCATGCCCAGCACCCCAGCGAGCATCTGCTCAGAGTATGTGTGAAGAGGGCCAAGGACAGAGCCCTAGCTCCTGTCCTCAAAGCTGGCCAGGCCCCATGACCTATAAAGCACAGGGCTCTGTCCCTCTCACTTGGTAGCTCTTGAAGAGTTGTAGACAAGGTTGTTGGTGTCCCCCTGTGCGTCCCCATCCGATAGCAAACTCCAGGGTAGGTAGTAGCCATCATCACGGCTGTGCTAACTCTTCTGGGGATGAAAGAGCCCATAATGACATAGCAGATGGGTTAACTGGGCTCTTACACCACCTGGCTCCTTTTTAGCTTCTGATGAGGGCCATCCTTGAGACCACACTCATCCACAGGTCTATGGAACACAGTTTCCCTTCCACTGAGTTGAAGGATGACAGACAGGTCAGGAGAAGGCTTAGACTGGCTTGAATTAGCTGGAAGATGCCAGCCCTTTTTCTGTTAGGAGGAAGGAATCTCTTTTTTTTTAAACATTTCCTCGGAGGCAGCCACATAAGACACATACTCCAGAATAGTGAGTGTGTGCAGTGTGAACAGTGAAAAGCCCTTCCTAAGGACCTCTGTTGGCTGCTGGTGCCCTTGCAGGCACCTGAAGCTTGACTGAGCACACAGAGAACAGAGCAGGTAGCCATGCAAAGGCACAGTTCTGGCCTGGGCCCCACATTTACTAGTGATGCCATTTGCAGCTTTCTCATAAGGGGGCTTAGCTGTGACAGGAACTACCCCCTTACTCAGAGATTCCCCAGGACTGGGGTGGGTGCCTTTTCCAGTGGATCCAGGACAGCTTCTCTCTCTTGCAGCAGGAGAGTGGCCAGTAACACTTCGTACCCCCCTCCCCTGTGCCCTAGCCTTCTCTCCAGTGTCTAGCACTGTGTTGACGTTAGTGTGTTAGTACAAGGTGACTGTGGAATGCCACCAAGCAAGCTCCTTAGACTGGTCCTAAAACATCACATGGTCTCTCCTGTGACCTGTCTGTTGACAGGTTCAGCACACATAGCACATACTCAGGGACTTTGCAACTCTCTCTCTCTCTCTCTCTCTCTCTCTCTCTCTCTCTCTCCTCGGGGGGGGGGGCTGAAGCCTGGGACCCTAGGAAAGGATCCTAATAATGATAAGGTAACCAGGTAGAGCACCCAGCTAGGTCAAGCAGCTCAGGATTTCTCAGTGCTGGGTTTCAGCATGGGAATCCCCATTCACTAAACTAATGGAGTTTGGAGGCATGCACTTTTTTTTTAAACATTGGGGCAGTATCTGTTCTTTGTTGAGCCTATAGAACACAGTTGGTTTCTACATGGAGCATCTTCCTGATGACTCCTCACTCCCTGGCTGTGTCAAGTCTTCTCTGTGTAATGCAAGCATTACTTTGCTGGGGAAAGTGAAAACACCAGTTGCCTCCTGACTGAAGCCAGACCATTAAAAGCCAAGAGAGCCAATGACCCACAGGACCGGCCTTTTATCTTGCTGTGGGTAGCCTGTGGTTCTATCCACACTGGAAACAGCATCCAGGCTACAGATTTGGATAGACTGTCCATGTGTCCGGAAGAGGCCCTCTGCCTCCAGCACATGACTGTAGACGTCACTGGGAAAGAAGGCCTTTCTAGGGTTTGGTGGTCAGTCTCATTCCCTCGGGATCCCCTCCACCCTCCCTGGGCCAGCTTTGTGTGAGAAGAAAACTGGGGGGGGGGGCAGAAGCACAGCTGTCCACGGCTCAGCTCTGTCTGGCCTCTATGGCTGGTCACGTGACAGAATCCAGCCAAGCTGGGCAAAGTGCGTCACTGGTGGAGTCCCCTCCGGGGGCTGGCATGAGTTGTGCGTGGCGTTCACTTAGCCCTGCCTGGCTCTCACTTTTCACTTAGAGCCACTTTCCAAACCACACTTTCAGTATTTATTAAGAGAAACATAAAATTCCCAATAGGTTAGAATTCCCAGCATTTAGAATATGGCCTCTTGTTATTACAGCTGAGCCAGGCAGAGCCTGCTCAGTGTACCACACTCCCTTGCCGGTCTGTGCGGGCACACATGGACACCTCAGGGTGGTGTGAAGGGGAAGGAAAGAAAACCCTTGGGCTTGACATCACTCCTCCTTTTATTTTCCAAGTATGATTTTCCGTCTTGGTTCCTGTTCTTTTGGAAATGGTGTTATAGCTTATGAACATGAGTCTATGAACTGGACTTCCAATCCAGAAAGGAAAATCCAATTTCTACCACTCATTGGTCGGTTTGTTTAGCTTTAGCACATTGTGTCTGGTCACTGAGGTATTAGAAGGGGTTGGTGGTTTTCTGAGGGGAGATGTAAGGTTAAAATGCCACAGCTGTGCAGACCGAAACCAGGGAAAGCTGAATGAGAGGCTCTGAGACAGAAGGATCCGAGGATGGTGCTCCCCCTCTTCTGCGGCCAGATGTGTGTGTGAGGTAGTGCTACTGTGGTGCACCAGGCACCTTCAGAGTGTCCAGCACCACAGTCGAAAAGTGCCCCATATACCTCAAAGAGCCATCTTCCTTCCTAGGTCAAGCCATGATAATAGCAGCAGGTGACAAGCTGCCATCTCAGACTTCAGAAGCCCATTCCTTCTCCAGCATATCTGCAGTCTCCTAGAACAGACGTGGAACTCGTGACTCCCCCCCTCCCAGCTCTGCCTCCCAAGTCAAACTGGAATCCCCAGGAGGACAGGGCCATGCCTGCAGCCTGCTCACCCTTTAGGGCTGGGCAGACTGGAACAGAGCCATTTTAACGTATGGTCTGTGGGTTTTCTGGTAGAGCTCAAAGTCTGCTGTCCCTTTCAGGATCTGAGCTCCCTGCCGGTTGCAACCACAGGTGATCTGTCTTAAGATGTGTCAGCCCTCAGCCGGTCGTTGGTGACCCACGCTTTTAATCCCAGAACTCTGGAGGCAGAGGCGGGCATATCTCTGTGAGTTCGAGGCCAGTCTGGTTTACAGAGCGAGTTCCAGGGCAGCCTCCAAAACAATACAGAGAAACCCTGTTTCAAAAAACCAAAACCAAACAAACAAAAATGTGTCAGCCCTCAAATGGGCCATGAGTCTCAGCAGAACAAGGCAATATCTGAAAGAGGAGCTCTAAAGAACCAACTGCAGCATTTACAGGGAGACCTGTAAAAAACACCTCTTGGGGGTGTTTTTAGTCCCTAGCAAATGGAGGGCCTCTGTTAGAATAGGGACACTAAGCAAATGATAAAGGGCATGTATATTCACTTTGCTCTTGACTGTGGATGTGGTGTAACTGTCTGTATGAGTTCCGGCCTTGACTTTTCCAAAAACAGTTGATTGTAACTTAGAATTGTAGACCAGGTTAACCCTTTTCTTTTGAGTGTTGCGTGTTGCTTTTGGTCAGGATATTTTATCACACACACACACACACACACACACACACACACACACACACACAGAGAGAGAGAGAGAGAGAGAGAGAGAGAGAGACTCACTGACTTCTTGGGGGAAGCCACGAGATCCTGCCTTCATGTTGGCGAGGTGTTGATCTGCCCATGGTTCACAGCCCTCTGCAGCTTGAAGGTGGGCGACATCTGTCAGCCACTAACAGCCTTTTCCAATTTGCTTTGCAGCAGATGCTGACGGATACAGAGGTGTCATCCCAGGAGAGTTGCATCAAAAAGGTAGGCAACCATGCCATCTCTGATGTCACCCAGCACCCTTTCACGCAGTCCCTGGGGGGACAGCTGTGCTGTCTTGGTTGTTTCTGAGCTACAGAGCAAAGAAGCCGTTCATGATCAGAGCTTTATCTGCACACAGTGTATGAATGCCATCATGGGAGACGCTTGTTTTCACTGTGTAAGCGGCGGGGCGGGGGTCACCTCACTAAGCCACCCCAGCTCTTGAGAACAGAGGACAACCCTGGGCCCGTGGGAATGCTGCAGGCCATGCAGACACATGGAAACTAAATAAAGGCAGGTTGTGTTTATTTAACTATCTTCACCGAATACTCACAAGAGAAGAATATGGGGCGCGCGCAATGGGCCACAGATTCAACAGATCCTTTCCCTGCACTCTTAACTCCCAAAGAGGGCTCGAGCATCGCTTTAAGTAAGCAAAGCATTAAGCGAAAGAAAAAGCTTCAACTGGGCATTGTCTGCTGCCTTTCTGGCTGATGATGGATCATAGCTGGTCGACAAACACGGCTCTGAAAGACCGAGAGAGAGAGAGAGAGAGAGAGAGAGAGAGAGAGAGAGAGAGGGAGGGGAAAATATGTATGGCCCTGGGAGACACACACACACAAAGAGGTGCGAGCACACCTGAGTGTTCACACTGCAGTCTACATCGTGGTGAGAAGATGATCACCAGTCAGTTCCAAAGCCTTGTGTGAGCTCTGTCACTGGGTATTGCTCACAGTGCATGCATGCACAGGAAAACCCATATGTGCACATGTCCATACAAGGGACTTATCCTATGCTTAGGGTCTTCCCAAGAAGTTAAAGAGACATCTTCTCTCTGGGCATCTTTGCCCAGGAACAAAAGTGGACACAGAGGTCCATTTACAGCACATCTCTACCTGGAAGTGGGGGGGGGGTCTCAGCTCACACTGCTGGGGAGGCTGCGTTAGCACCGCGTGTTATTCACTCGGAGACTTGCAACACCGAATGGGCACTTGAGGGGTCCTGCCACCCAAGTGAGCAGACAAGTCTAACCTGATGTGCACTAATCTGGGCACATGGGCAGAGCTCTCTGCAAGGGATGGGACCTGTGCTTTGCCCAGGCAAACCGCAGGCAACATTTTGCAGGTGAAGCTCTGACAGTGGCCCTTCCTTCCCCCATCCCTCCCTCTACCTTTAAGTGCACCATGAATCATATTCTCTCTCTCTTCCTCTCCTCTCCTCTCCTCCCCTCTCCTCTCCTCTCCTCTCCTCTCCTCTCTCTCTCTGTCTCTGTCTCTCTCTCTGTCTCTGTCTCTCTCTTTCTCTCTCTGTCTCTCTCTGTGTCTCTCTGTCTCTGTCTCTGTCTCTCTCTGTCTCTCTGTCTCTCTCTCTCTCTCTCTCTCTCTCTGTCTGTCTCTCTCTGTCTCTGTCTCCCTCCTTCCCACTTTTCTTCTTTGGATAAAATTGTGGCTTTTGAAAGGAAAGAGGGGGAGCTGGCGCTGACTTCTGTATCTCAAGAATTGTGGAAAGCGAAGCACAGTGCACTCTTTGCCCCCAGCAGAGCTGGGCAGTGTAGTGCTCACTGAGACTACGGTGTTGTTGGTATGTCTTCGGGTGTGCTGCCAAGCCAGGGTATAATGGTTAAGGCAGGAGACCAAGAGGTCAAGTTCAAATGTAAAGGGCCAGGGGAAAGTGCTGGATACTTTTGAATGGAAACAAAGTAACAGATGACAGGAAAGTGTCTGGCTGCTTCCCTCTTGCTCTGGGGTGGGAACAAGTTTGTGATTTGTGGGGGTTTTTCCCCTATAAAATATGGTTCTGTGATGTCTTGTCTAACCTGGCCCCAGTCATCTTGAGAGCTGCTTATGTGATAGTTGTGAGATACACCACAACCACAGACCCACTTGAAGATGCTTGGGGGATGGAGCTATCTCAATTGCAGGTCCCCACGATGTCCCTGAAGCTGCAGCCAGGCTGAGGGTCTCAGAGAACCAGGGGGCCTCAAGAGAGCAACCCCCATATAGGGTGAAGCATCTTGGAAGCTTGAAGGGGACATGAGTGGCTGTCTGTCCCAGCAGGCTTCTCAGCGCCCATCCTAGCCCACTTCCTTCTTCTGCCCTTGGAGGAAGTTAGAGGCTACTGGTAGGTGTCCTTGTGTAAGCTCTACAGGGCTTCTCATGAGGCTGGGGAGCTGCTGCAGCATACCCCCAGGGAAGGCTGAACAGAAGTTTTCCAGCTTTGGCTGAGTTCAGACATCCCTGTTTCTCTGGGGTCACACAGAACAAGAGTTAAAATCTAGTCTTAGGTCTGGACCTGAGTAGTGGGAGATGGAAGGGACTGAACTGGAGAGGGGAATTATAAGTCAGCACCAAAGGGGGTCACATGCCAGAGCCTAGGGGCAGTAGGAGACACATAATGGCTTTGAACTTGTGTCTAGGTGGAAGCTTCTGCCTCGTTAACAGATATGTCACTTAGAGCTGTGATTAGTATATACTTTCCACACTTGTGCCTTTTGGGGGGTGGTCGTCAAGGAACGCTACATGTACCCGTGTGCATTTGGATTACCTGAAGACTTGCACACTTGTGTTAAAAATACGATAGGGAATTATGGGGCAGAGGGGTATGTGGAGGCTATGTGGCCTTGGGTTGTCCAGTTTCCATCTCTGAGAGTCATACATTCCCTGCCCTCTGTCTGCTTGTATGAAATGTCACAGACTTGGTTTAGTTCTTTCAGCCCCTGACACTGATGCTGGAAGGAAAAATGGAAGGAGGCTGCTATTGTAAGTATTAAGTATTAGAGAACAAGTTACTACGGAGGTTATTGGGTTCTTCTGAATGTACTCGGAATTTACAGAAGGAGCCAGGCAAGCATGGTTACACATGGGACTCACACCCCAGACTGTGCAGGCTTGCACTGTGGGAAGCTGCCGCTGGCTTAGTCTATTCCCCATCCTGCTCTCCTTTGTCCCTTGCTGAACCTCACCCCCATGAGCCCCTGTGTCTCTTACTCCCAGTAGCCCTCTGGGCTCCATTGTCAGTAACATTTCCATCGCTTGTGGCCACATGCCCCCAGCGTCTGTCCCCGTGTTTCAAACTTCAAGCACCTAAATCCCCGCTGTCATGTCTGCCCCTGTCCTTCCTGCCCTCGGGGCACATCACTTGAGCGTCCCCCAGAAGGCAGTCTGGCTGTGGTCAGACCCAGTCAAGCTTCTTCCCACAGTGGAACCCAGGACCTCTGGGGCTGCCCCTCTGCTGGCGACTCTATTTAGTCTGTTTACTTAGAGGGAAGCCCGGGGCTCCTGGAGAGCAAACATCTGCGGGAGATAATCTAGCGAGCTGTCCATCCATCACTCGGCTGTGGGGCTCCCTGGAGAGCACGTCGGAGCCCGTAATAAAAAGGCCGGGAGAAGAGGCTTTGGGGACGAATAAAGAGCCGTGTTAAGGGCTCGCAGAAAATGGATGGAAGACATTATTGAGGCTCAATGGCCGCCTTATCAAAATCCAATAGGATAGACATTTGGCAAAGGCTTAAATTTATTCTTTGACTTTCTGGAGGGCTGAATTTATCCGTTAACAAGAGTGTAGTCCACCCGGGGAGATGGTATCAGGCAAAGGAATTTTGATTCAATCTCTTCAGTGATATGAAAAGGGAAACACAGAGCCCCACGGCCTTTCCCTTTGTCCCACTCTATCTTGTTTTCTTTCTGCGTCTAGCAAAGGAAGGAGGTGTTAATACAGGGCAACTGGGAGAAAACACAAATGAAAGGAAGTGGCCTTTCCCTCTTGTATTTTTATTTCCGCCTTTCCTCCCTTTCTCTGCTCCCTCTCCGCCCCCAAATAAAAAAATCCAGGATTTGTACCATTATAACTAGGACTCAGGGCCTGGAAAGGGTTCCTGCCTGGAAGGACCCGGCAAGCACTCCTGGGCCATGGCAGGAGCCATGGAAAGAATAGAAAATAAATTGAGAGGGGTCAGCGATGGGTCCATAAATCTCTTCCAGTTATTATTTCGTACAAAATGCTACAGGTCATAAAAGCCACCTGATGGCTCTCGAGTGGTCCAAATAGGATGATTGATTGATGATTATGAAAATCTGTGAAATGATTATTTGGGTGTTAGAAGCATAGTCTCTCCCACTGGGCTTGGGGACCTTTTTCCCATCCTATGGTCCTGGGTGAGCTGCCTCTGGTGGCCAGAAGCCCAGAGGCCTCAGGGTTCATGAAGGGTGACTGGAGCCAGGATTGTGAACTCAGCCTGTAAGGAGGTGGGAGCCGAGGCAACCAGGCAACTACCAAGTGGCTTTTGTGCAGCAATTATTTGGATGTCACACACCCTGCGATCTAAACCCGACCACAACTGAGGGAGCTGTTTGCCCCTGAAGACTATTTCTTCACAAGAGCTGTACACCCAGATATTGGCGGCTTGTATTGTTCCTGTGTAGCTGCAGGGTGAGGCAGTGGGGAGACACACTGGTGGTACTCTGTGACGAGGCACTGACCTGCAGGTCAGGATCTGGCTGGCATTTATTGGAACCCGAAGGCTCTCCACCACCACCCATAGGTTGGCTAAGGGCCGTGTCACTGAGGTGAGCTTAGGAACCCCTTCCTCTCCTGCCTTACCAGACAGCTGGCCACGCTCAGAATCCATCAAGGTGCAAAGCTATAGGTAGTTTCCCTACAGACTCTCTTATTAGCACCACCACCCCCCCAAAAAAAAAAAACAAAAAAAACACCCCTAACACAACAACCACTGTGATCAAAATTATTAATTTCCAAAAAAAAAACACCCCTAACACAACAACCACTGTGATCAAAATTATTAATTTACATGTGGGATCAGTTATGTCTTTATGGAATCAAAGTGTGTTTAGCTGCCCCGGAGACAGCCCCCGAGTTGATTTTGATAATCTCAGGCTGAATAGACTTGCCTCGTTGCAGTAAGCCGGGGACAAAAGGCTGGACAGTGGTTGAAAGCCCTTTGAGGACATGTCTCTCTTTCCATTGTTCTGGGGTTGCTGATAAAAAGAACCGGGAGTCCATTAATTCAATGAATGAACATATAGCAAAGTCAGTCCCCTCTTGAGAACAATAATGTTGAGGTCAGCTTCAGTTGCCATGGAAACTAAGTACTCCTAAGAAGTTTGCATCCTTGATTTTGCTGAATCAAAGGCTACAAAGTGAAGAGGTGTAACACTGCCTCAGAGACAGCAGAAAGTCGGGAAGGGTTGCCTCCGAGGGTCCCCTTCTCCTGAGGGGGCTGGGCCACTGGCCTTGAGACCCTCAGTGGCTCT